CTGTGAAGGGTACAGCGGGGGGAGAAAAAAAGAAGCATAAGCCCGGGTCCTGCTCCCAAGCAGCCGAGCTAACCTCTGAGCTGGAAAGCAACCCTTCACGGTAAACATATAAAAGCCTTTGTGCCTTGCACAGAGCAGTGGTTCAGTCATCATTTGTTCATTGGGTCAATGAATTAATAGAGGGCACAATAATAAGACAATTGTGTGAGTGTGGGGCTCACTCTAAGAACCACAAGATGGGTTGGAGTAGTTGTTAAAGGCTTGTGCCAGAGGCTGCTAGCTGCCTACTCAATACCAATTCCTCCATTTTTCCTTGTAACAGAGCCCCTATTTTATTTGAGGTGGCTGTATGCCCAGATAAAATACTACATTTCCCAGCTTTCCTTGTAGCTAGAGGTGGTTCATGAGATTTAAAGAGAAATTTTTAGGAGAGTCTACCAGGAAATTGCCTTAAAAGGCAGACCAACAGTGGCCACTCACTCTTGTGTCCTTCTTCCCTTTCTTCTAATTCTCATCTGAAACATGAGTGTGATGGCTGGATTTACAGCAGCTATTTTGGACCACGAGACAACCTTGAGAGAGAAAAGCTCGAAGACAAAAGAAGCCCAAGTTCCTGATGATTAGGGAGTCACCATACTCTCCCTGGACTGCTTGCTTCTGGCATTCTTTTACTTGAAAGGGAGATAAACCTCTATCTTGCTTAAACTATTTTTGGGGGTTTTGTCATAGGCAGCAAACCCGTCTCAACTAACACAAGTTTCCACGGAAAAGCTGGGCTTTAAAGGAAGGGTTAGTTGGCTTTGTGACTGGGTGGGTGGGGATCGAAGGGCATCTCAAATGCCAGAAAGAGCAAAGGAAATGACACTGGCAGTAATGAGCACTGGCTGAAAGCAAGTGGGTAGAGAATAGGAAATAAAGAGAAGCCAGATGACAGTGTTGTAGATGTCAAGGGGAACAAGGATTGATTAGGGAAGAACCAGGGACCACAAAGGAACAAGAAAGTTTGGGGCGTCTGGGGACCCCAGTCGCATGGGCATCCAACTCTTGGTTCCAGCTCAGGTCATGATCTTGGGGTCGTGAGATTGAGCCCTGTGGCATGGCGGGCTCTGTGCTCATCGAGGAGTCTGCTTCTCTCCCTTTCCTTCTCTGCCCATCGAGGAGTCTGCTTCTCTCCCTTTCCTTCTCTGCCCCACTCCCCACACACGCTCTCCCTCTTTCTCTCCAAAATAAATAGATAAATCTTTAAAAAAGGAAGAAGAAAGCTTGTTTCCCTCCAAAGGAGCAAAACACCTGTGGACCTGAAGGGAGTAAGAAAGGAGAGAAAGAGGCAGAAGAGGCTGGGGGAACTTCATCACATGAAGAAACAGGAGCATGAGCTGTGGCTTGGACTTGGAACAATACCACCACCAAAGTTTATTAAATGCGTATGTGCCTTGCCCTGGGCTATGCACTCTCCACACACTTATCTCATTTATGCTTCATGACACCGTTACGACATATTCCTATCATCACCCACATCTGGCAGACAAGGAGCCTGGGGCTTAGTCAGTGACTTAGCCAGTGTAAGCCTTACCATCCTGTAAGCTGGCTCCCATCCACTCCATTTTTCAGATGAGGAGTGAGTTTGTACCATTATTTCAAAGCCAGGAAAATATGTCAAGATCTTGGTTTTCTTTCTTTTTTTTTAAAAAGAGATTTTATTTATTTATTTGACAGAGACAGACACAGCAAGAGAGAGAGAGAACCCAAGGAGAGGGAGTGGGAGAGGGAGAAGCAGGCTTCCCGATGAGGAGGGAGCCTGATGCGGGGCTCAATCCTAGGACCTGAGCTGAAGGCAGACACTTGATGACTGAGCCACCCAGGATCCTGATTTTCAAACATAAAGATCCAGAACCAAGTATAGAGTCAATTGCTTTGTGAATGCTCTCTTAAGCAGAAGAAAAACAAACAGACAAGGAAAAGATAATGTTGGAGTCTTGGCTGTGTTTCCTACATGTCAAGGAGGAAGGACTTGTTAAACAAACCCACCCCTACTCCCTGGCTGGTTGGTTGAGTGCCCCTGAGGTGCAGATAGTGCTGAGATGGCGGGGGTGAGGGATGGACGGAAGCAAGCATTAAGAAACCAAGCAGGCAGTGATGCAATGTCAAATCTAGTGATAAATGAATCACAGCCAACCAGCGGCTCATGTGTCTCAGAGAGTGTTTTAATATCTCTCCACACCATGGAATGGAAAAAAAAAAATTACTCTATCATAGCTAAGGCTGAAAACTCAATACTTTAAATTAAGTTAGTCAGATACATCCACTGAACATGAGGAATTCTTCCTGGAGCTAAAATCTCATTAGACGCTCGCAAGAAAGGGGGGAAAACAACCCATCGGGTTACAAATGATTTAGGTAACATGAGTACCTAATAGGAAGTGCATTTCCCATGAAGATTAAAAATAAAAAAATCTCTTTTGGCACCCTGGCAGACTCTGGTGGCAGGGCCTCCCCAGTACGGAAATCTAGAATTCTACAGCTGGCCCAGGACAGCCCTAAATGCTGTAAGGTAAAATGCTTGTTAGCCCTAAGTTCAAGCTGATTCTAGCACAAGCTGTTTGACTCTGGGTACATGCCTTTACCTCTCTTGGCCTCAGCACTTTACCTATAAAAGGGCACTAGTAATCACCCCACCCCACCCCCTGCAGCCACCCTGAGATGGCTGGGAGGCTAAAGGAGGGGGCCTACTGCTCCTGTCACCATGACTTTGACAGAACTTACGTCTTTAGAGTTCTCTGCCTCAAATTCTAGGAAAGAAAAGACCACAAGACAATGGAAAGAGCCATGTCCCGACGCATGGGCCCAGCCTTGAGGGTCACAAGTGTGTGACCTTGAGGTTACTTTTATGTCTCCCGAGTTCCGTCTGAAGAGGGGCAGGAGTAGACCTACTCTTGGACCTCTTCCTCTTCTAGACTCCCGAATGTCACTAAGATTCAGATGGACAATCCTTAGGGAAGCTGTTTCTTTATCTAAAAATATACGGTTTCTACCCCAGGAGCCAAAGAGTTAGTGAGAACCATAAAGGCACGTCACGGGGTTTTGCACTCTTGGGCTTTAACACAGACCTTGATAAATTCTTGTTAAATGGAACAGATGAATGATGAACAAATGAATGGATTTCAAGGGCCAGCCAAAACGGAGACCACTTGCCCTCCACCGAGCAGAGTTTAAAGCGAGAAGAAAATGCTGCCAATTTAAAATACTAATGATAATTACTTTGTCATCTGAACTACAACCAGAATATCAGATGAACAGTTCGCCAGTCAAAGGGATGCCTGATGCAGAAAAGCCAACTTTGGGCCTTGCCAGAAGAGTGTACTTTGGGGCACAAGGAGTACAGATGTGACACAGGAGAGTCCACAGGCTCCAGAAAGGATGCAGAAGCCCTGAGAAGGAAATGTCATCCAACCTCTAGGGCAGGAGGGGCACAGAAGCATGTCAACATGAAAGGAAAAATACCAGGCCTCCACATGTTGGCATGCAATTGTGTCTGCCCAAGAGTGCCGCGCTGAAAAGGGGAGCTCTAAAATCCAGCAGGTGGTCTGCTCCCCTGTGAGACCAAGCCCACCCAGGAGCCCCACAGGTGGGCAGCAGCCCTGATGGCTGCAGCAGATGGACTGGAGTCTTCTGGGGACTTCAGCAACAAAGAAAATAATAATAACGCACACGGGGTGCCTGGGTGGCTCAGTAGGTTAAGTGTCTGCATTCAGCTAAGGTCATGATCCCGGGGTCCTGGGATCCATGCCCGCAGGCTCCCTGCTCAGTGGAGAGCCTGCTTCTCCCTCTCCCTCTGCTGCTCCCCCTGCTTGTGCTGGCTCTCTCTCTCTCTTGCTCTCTCTTTGTCAAATAAATAAATAAAATCTTTAAAAAGAAAGATTTAAAGAGAAAAAAAAAAGAACAGGCATTCTAACTTATACTCAGGTTTGGCTACTATGTGTAAAAACAGATCCAAATGTGTCTTTGTATGGGAATCTACCTCTCATAAGAGAAAATGGTCCTTTTCCAAGGAGGGGGGCATCTCTGCCCCTCGGCATAAATGTGGCTCTCCCATGGCTCTCTCTCCTTAAGACCTCAAGACTGAATGGCCCAATAAAACCCAACCTTCAGTTGAGGATCTCCGAATACAAATAATGGGCACGACTGCCGGGGAAGAAGGAGAAACATGAGGGTCAAGCTAGCAAGAGAGCCTCATGAGCCAAGCCTCGGCCCTGGGTCCCGCCCCGCTCCCGGGTTTCTAGAAAGAGCCATAGCAAAGCTGGGGAAAAAAAAAAAAACAAAACCCAAAACACATGCATCATAGAAAACCAAACTATCTGTGATTCAGAATGGTCTGGGAATGAGAATCTTTAAAGCATCAACTCAAAGAAAATGACCTGTAGTCACGGTTAAACACTGTGGGTGCCTACTTTGTGTTAAGAGTCCTTTAGAAACAAAATCCCACTTATTACTCATATTAACAATTTGATGTAAGCCGTGTTTATTAGTCTCATTTTACAGATGAAGAAACTGATACACAGAAAATTCAAATAACTTCTCCCAAGAGAAGTTCACACAAGCAGTCTAGCTTCAAAGCCCATAGTCTTTATCAGCATTTTCAAACCTTTCTCTCTAATCGAGAGCAAGAAATACATTCTACATCGTGACCCAATATACACTCACACATTTATACATAATTGAAACAAAGTTTGAAAACAGAAAATACCATTACCATGGGCAATTCACTGCCATGTTTCCTCTTCTATTCCATCCTATTAAAAAATATATCACTTGGACACCTGGGTGGCTCGATCGGTTAAGCATTTGCCTTTGGCTCAGGTCATGATCCCAGGGTCCTCAGACTGAGTCCCGCATTGGGCTCCCTGCTCAGCAGGGAGTCTGCTTCTCCCTCTGCCCCCCTACCCTGTGAGCTCTCTCTCTTTGTCTCAAAAATAAATAAAATCTTAAAAAAATATGTATCGCTCAACAACTATTTATGAAATACCTACTATGTGTTAGACACTGTTCTAGGCTTTGTGGCTATGTCATTGGATAAAAAGTTAAAAATCCTTGCCCTTTTGGACCTTGCATTTACTGGAAAGAGAGTGAATAAGATCAACACGCAAAATCATAATATCTGAAGCAGTAATCTGGTCAGTGCTAAGGAGAAAATAAAGCAGGGATAGCCAAGAGTGAGAGGAAAGCCTCTCCATGCTTTCATTCCCCCCCCTACACAAATTTCAGTGGGCTGTCACCCACCAGGTGAAAACCCCTGCCCTTAATCCATCCACCCTGGGGACTCTATGTATGCCTGACAGCTCTTTCTCCTAGACCGTGTGCACATGTACGCGTTATGGGATTGCGTGCACTGTGCATACGTGTATAGGCATGCATGTACATGCATGCAGTCACTTCCTCACAGGCGAGGTTTTGGAGACAGGGCCCCAACAAACAGCTGTCCAGGGGTTCCATCCACAAGCCTGACCTGCAGAGGGGGTCCTGGAGTGCGGCCTAGAATATCAGCCCAAGCACACTAGGCAAAGCCAGCAAGTGCCAGACACGTGACTGGGCCTGAGTATTTAATCCAGAGAAATCAGAATCTTTTTATCATTGGTCCACCCAGAGCGGGCACCTTTTTGAAATTCGTTAGGCCAGAGGGAATGCTAACTCCTAATCTGCATCAAGATGATCTTTGTGCAAGAATGCCCTTAGGGAGAGAAGAGACAGCAAACAGAAATAAAAATAACTTCCTGGGGAAAATGCAGTGCATGGGGCATACCTGAAGGGGTGATTGATATGGGTCTCCCGGAACATGGGATTGGAGCCAGCTCTGAAGCAGCCCTGGGCCACTTGGGTAGCTGCCATTCGGTATCTGGAACTTGGCACTAGAATGAAATCTTCAGACTCTTCCCTTAAGTTAAAGGGGCACATAAAAATGTTACTAGCATGGGCAGCTAAAGCATTACCTATGGGAAAAGCAGCCAATCTCTGCTAATGAATAAGTGTAATTGATCACAACAGATGACTTGATGGACCTTCCAAATGTGCTTTTAGCAAAGTGGACAGTTTTTCATTCAAATGCAAACTCACCCAGATAAGATCTAATAATGGAGATTTTGGAACAATCCCAGCATCAGTGATTTCTTTCTTTCTTTCTTTTTTTTTTTTTTTCTCCTTCACTGAGCAAGAAAGCATCTTAAGTTCCTGATTACGATTTGACCCAACCAGACATCAGTTTAAGCTTTCCCTATGACTGAAGAGATCCTGAGGGTTCCAGGGGCAGCAAAATAGCAGTCACTGGCCATCCTCACGTCCCTATCTGTCCTTTCTTCCTCAGCCCCACTCCCACTCCCTGACATATGAGGAGTTGGGTGGTGGAGAGACATTCAGTACAATGCAGTTATCCATTTATTCAAGAAATATTTAGTGAGCACTTACCATGTGCAAGGCACCATACTGACTGCCACAAGGGGATTCAAAGATGGCTAGGACTGGGTCCTGTCCTCAAAACAGAGGGCAGATGTCCAGGGAAACAACAAATGACAGAAGCCCCGCGTAGGATTTCAACTCACTTCAACATACACTTAATCTTTCTGAACTTCAGCTTTCTCCTTTGTCAAACTAAGACACTGTATTAGACATGATCTCTGGGCACCAGGCCAGCTTGAAAACTATGATTCAATGCCCTCCCCTTCCCACTCAGGCTCCAGGAAGCTGAGAGATCAGGTGCAGCCTTCTAGGAAGGGGACAGCCAGCAAAGGGAGGGGACAGCAAGGATTATGGACCTTTCCCTGAGTGAGAGGGTGTTGCCATTTGGCCAGAACACAAGACACAGGCTCTCAGAAGGTAAGAGATAAGTCGGGAAAATAACGTGCAAGATTTAAACTTTCACATCAAGGGATCTGGGGGAAAATGGGGAGCCACTGTAGTTTGTGTAGAGAAAGGTACTATCCCGTGGTGCAAAGGAATATGATCGACCTGTGGAAGAGGAGCTGGAGGGGGACGGACGGTGATGTTATTACCACAGAGCATGAGGGCCGAGGCCTGAAATGAAAGAGTCCTCCCATGGTCTAGCCAGGCACACCATTCCCTCACCCCCTGGCATCGCCATACTGCTTATTTTCATAAACTCGCCCGAGGCGAAATCATGTTACACAATCTTTTTTTTTCCCCCAATTCTACAAGTGGTTTCAAGGTAAACAGATGTCATCTCCCTTCTTCCCAAGCGCCCGAGGTTAAACGGGACCAACAAGAGGAGTCAGGGACCGGTGCGGGAAGGGGCCAGGAGCCCCCGGGATGCGCGAGGGGTGCGCCTACCTGCAGAGAAGCCGTCCTCGTGGTCCGAGCTGTTGCGGCTGCAGTCACTGCCCCTCTCTGGAGAGCTGTGGCTGGGCGAGTCCCGCTCCGGCACCCGCAGGAACCTCTTGCGCCGCCACGGGGGGAGGTGCTCGCGAGCCCCACGCCGGGGATGCTCCTCGGCCGCCAGGGGCGAGCTCCGCCCGTCCTTGGCCTCCGCCTCCAGCTGCTCCAGGTCGCGGCTCCGGCGCTGCTGCCGCCGGCCCCCGGGGATCAGGTGCATCCAGCGATGGGGGCTGCCCGCCCGCGCCGGCTTTTCGGCCTCATCGCGGGCTCCGAGCCGGCAGGGGCCCACGAGCAAGTGGCCGAGGACGAATTTCTCGTTCAAATCCACCATCTCGAAGTCGTGGTCACTGCTGTTGCCCCCATCCTCCGCGACCGAGGCGTCCGGCTCGCCCTCCTCCGAGCCCCGCCCCGCGCGGGTCCCGGAGGGCAGCTCCTCTCCCTGGGCGCTGGGGACTGTGTCATCGTCGCCGGGGGGCGCGTGGTCCTCCTGGGACCTGAAAAGGAGGCGAGGCTGCACCAGCTGCCCTTGGATGGCGGCAGTCAGGCTGCGCACCGCGCCCCCGGCCCCCGCCGGCCCGGGCCAGGTGGGAAGGTCCGGGCACGCGTAGGGAGGAGCCTCGGCCTTCTCGGCCGCCTCCGGGTCCCCGCGCCAGGGGCCTGCGGGGTCTCCGCCGCCGCCCGCGGCGCCCTGCTTCTCGCGCGGTGGCGGCGTCCGCTCCGGCCCGGCCGGCGCCGGCTCCTCCGCCCAAGCTCCCGGCCGGTCGCCGTCTCCGCCCTCCGAGCGCCCGCAGCAGAGGTCCCGCTTCTCCGCGGCCAGGGCCGCCTGCAGGTAGGAGACTTTGAACTTCTCCTCCGCCAACACCTGTTGCAGCCGCTTCAGGTTGAGTTTGCAGCGCTCCAGCTCCCGCTCCATGTCCAGCACCGAGTCCAGCCGCATGACGGGGGCCTTCTCCCCGGGGAACTCGGCCTGCCAGTGGCGCTCGAAGTCCTGAGGGTCCCACATGGCGGCCGCCCCTTCGGGCCTCCCGGGCCCGGCTCCGCCGCGCGCAGCGGGCTGGGGTCGCGCCGGGCTGTTCCCGGAAGCCCGCGCTGGCGCAGTCGCCTGCCCTTCACTTCAGCCCCTGAAGAAAATAGGAGAAAAAATAAAAGTTTTTCCCCTTCCGCCCTTGGGCCTTTTTTTTTTTTCCCCCTTCTTCTGGGTTTCGCCTCCCTGACGTAAGCGGCCACCCGCGGCGGAGGCGGGCGTCCGGGGGCCCTGGGCCCGCCCTGGGCCGGACGCGCAGAGCCCACGGTCTGCAGTTCGTCTGCAGTTCCCGCCGCCCGGCCCAGGGCGCCCGGCGGGCTCCGGGCTGCTGGAGAGCCGCGGCGGGGGCGGAGCCTCGGTGGCTCCGGGTCGCCTACCCCCGCCCCGAGGCTGGCGCGCCTCGGAGCGGCGCCCGCGACACTCCAGCTGACCACCGTAGGCCGGGCTCGCACCTTCCCCGCCGCCTGCGCTGCGCCGCTCCCGCAGCAGCGCGCCGTCCGCGGCGGCTCCCTGAATCCGAGCGCGGGGCCGCGCGGCCGGGGGAGGCGGGAGCCCGGGTGAGGGAGCGCGCGGGGGCGCCCCGGGCTCCCGGCCAACCGCCCGCCCCCCCGGCTCTCCGCGGCCTCGTCTGCCCAGAGCCGGCACCGCGCCTGGGACCTGGAGGGAGAAGGGGCGGGGAAAGGCGAGGTGGCGCGGCGGCGAGGACAGGTGTCAGAGGGAGCGGTCTGCCGCCCGGCGGGGTTATCCCTACCCAGGATTTATTGAGCGCCTTGAACTAACGTGACCAGGATAACAGAGCTGTTCAGTCCAGAACGGCGGAGTGAACTTTGGTTTTTGCGAGTCCCTTTTCATGCGCTCTCTCCAGTGTTCACTGGAGCTTTTCCGGGGGAGAAATGGACAAGGGGTACAGACAGCTCCAAGAGGCTCTGCTAGAGGCTCCTGTGACTTCAAAGCTGAGCGTACTCCCGCCTGACCGAATCAAACCATGGCAGCAGGAGCCTTAGACACGTGGGCATCTAAGACGGCCCTCCAATTCCACCTCCTCTTTGTGGCCTCACACAGTTCCCCTAGGGAGGATAAGAAAAGAGGAGCTGGGGACAGGTGCCTGGGCGCTCGCGGTGGAGTGCATGGGGGGCTTCTGCTTTGCTTCCCCTCTGCATGTGGCTGCAAAGCACTTTGCTCTTCCTTTTTACAGGGTTTCGGCTGAGGCCACAGTGTCCGCAGAGAGGGATCCTGATCAACTGTCTCGTGCTTGCTGCAACGGGGGAGCCTTATTGGTGATTCATGTTTCCTTCATTTTAAAGATGAGGAAATTGATATTCTAAGAGACTGGAAATTCTTCCTGCCCTTTGGGGCCTAGAGCTAAGCTCAGCAACCCTTTTCCTCTAGCCACCTGCCATTAGCTTCTCACCTGAACTGTCTGAACAGGCTAGCCTACCCCCACTCCTCAATCCCTTTCAGCCCATCCCTCAACATTGGCTCTTGCAAAGATACTGGGAAGACTTTTTTTTTTTAGCCACAAATGGCTTAGTGCCATGCTTTTGCTCAAAACCTTTCCTTGGCTCCTCATTACCTACAGGATGGTGCCTAGTCGCTGCAGGACATAGGAGGTCCTCCCACACATGGTCCCGGTCGGGCCCACCTCTATAGCTTTTTCCTATGCTTTAGACTTAACAACTCCACACTGTCCTCAAAGATGTCTCCCTCTTTCCGAGTGACCATTCCTCCTCCTTGGAACTCCCATCCCTACACACAGGCATAACTCCCTGCTGCCTAGGGGATTCCAACTGAGAAGACTTTTTGCCGCGCACCCCCCCCCCACCTTTGTGCCACCACTGCATCTCTTCCGCATCTTTATCTTTGCCCTTGCTCCAATCTATTATAACTATTAGTGACATCTTTTGTTTCCTCTACTTGTAGAGCCTTCAAAGACAGGTTTGTATCTTTTCCACTTTTTGTATTCTTTCTGCTTCTTGCAGAGGGTGGTAGAGATAACTGATCATTGTTGAATGAAAGAAATGAATGAATGAATGAATGAATGAGCAGGAAGATGAATGAATTTCCACCTTGTGGCTCCTGCTCAGCTTCTCCAGTTGTGAATCACTTCAGACTAGGAGCAGATGTGCTTCCCACAGAGGCTTCTCAACTCTAGAATTTCCTTCCCTGACAAAGTCTGTGTTTACTCATTTTCCTAATATCCTTTCTTCCTTCTTTCTCTTAAAAAAAAAAAAATGGTGTGGTAGTGGCATGACTCATCATAGTGTTTGTCTTGTGCCAAACTGAAGGAATGAGCATGTTTTAAAATAAATTAATTGAGGGGCGCCTGGGTGGCTCAGTGGGTTAAAGCCTCTGCCTTCGGCTCAGGTCATGATCCCAGGGTCCTGTGATCGAGCCCTGCATCGGGCTCTCTGCTTCGTGGAGAGCCTGCTTCCTCCTCTTTCTGCCTGCCTCCCTGCCTACTTGTGATCTCTCTCTCTCTGTCAAATAAATAAATAAAATCTAAAAATTAATTAATTAATTAATTGAGTAGTCCCCAGTTTGAGTGATTTCTCCATCCTTCATCTAGTTCCTCAAGCTGCTTTCTGTCCCACCTTAGGTTCATATTCTCTCCCTACCGCCCCAGAGGCTGCCACAGTCTCTTTTGTCCACTGGGAAGGACTGAGGAGCTCCCCATGCCTACAGAGAGCCAGGGCAGGGGTAGTCCATCGAACAGAGTCCACAAACATCTTGGCTTCTGTTAAAATTTCAGAATGGGAGAGAAATGCTGCATAGTAAGAATGGATGGTCCCAGTCAACAGCATATTGATTGGAAGATGTTTCGATATGTACATTTAAATGCACAAAGGAAAAAAAAAAAACCCTGTAAGTTACTACAAGCATCAATTTCTGAATTTGTAAATTTCCTAGGAGGCTAGTTTCAACTCTGTCCTTTAATTAAAACAGCAGTATGATTCCCTTTTGGTCCAAGGAAGTTATTACTAATACCACTAATTTTTTCCACGAGGACCAATATAGCTGGAAATGCCAGCATACATCTTCTGTAAACAGATCCCAGGAGCAACCTTCATTGTCTCTAGCTGGTGGATAGTTCAGCTTTATTACTTGGCTTTGGGTCATCATGGGGGCAGGGGTAGAGTGGCTGACATTTATTGAATCCATACCTCTAGTTGCCATACATCTTTGATCTCATCTAATTCCTCACAACCACCCTGTAAAAAAGGTATTATTGTTGCTACTTCAGAGAGAGAGAGAGAAATAGAAGATCAAAGAGGTTGGAAGCCACACAGCTAGTCTACTGGATTCTAAAGCCCAGTGGATTTGCAAGGGGTTGGTCCAGGTGCATCTGTCATTAGCGTTCATTCATTCAATAAATATATCTACTGAGCCCCTGTAGGAGCGTCTATGTGGTGCAGTCCATTAAGCATCCAGCTCTTGGTTTTGGCTGAAGTCATGATCTTGGGGTTGTGAGATCGAACCGGGCATGGGACTCTGCTTTCAGCAGGGAGTCTGCTTAAGACACTCTCTCCTCTCCCTCTGCCCCCTTCCCCACCTATGCCCTCACTCTAAAATAAATAAATAAATCTTTAAAAAATAGATATTTATTGAACACCTGTTAGATGCTCCAGTCTGGCAAATAAAGTTTAAACTTTGTAACCTGGCATATAAGACTCTTCACAATGGATCCTCTGACCCCAACCTGCTCTTCCAACCCCATTTCCTGAATATTTTCTTCCACTTGCCGCACCCATTCAGTCCCTTAACCTGAGTCTCCCTATGAGCAAATACTTTTTGGGTCTCATGCCATCTCCCTTTGGCCCATCTCAGATTTCTGCTGCAGCTGCAGTGGACACTTCCCATGAGCTGCTGTGCTCTCACTTCAAGCTCCCCCACCCCTATGATTCTGCCACTTTCTGGCCCGGTTTTTTTGTTTTGTTTTGTTTTGTTTTTCCCAAAGTCACAAAGCTCTCAAGGGCATCCCAGATGGAAGCTTCTTCTTCTTCTTTTTTTTTAAGAGTTTATTTATTTATTTGACAGACAGAGATCACAAGTAGGCAGAGAGGCAGGCAGAGAGAGAGAGGGAAACAGGCTCCCTGCTGAGCAGAGAGCCTGATGTGGGGCTTGATCCCAGGACCCTGAGATCATGACCTGAGCCGAAGGCAGAGGCTTTAAATCACTGAGCCACCCAGGTGCCCCCCAGATGGAAGCTTCTAAAGGGGATGGATGTTAATATCCCCAGGGCATCCCAGAGAAGGTGGAAATGAGAGCTGCTTAATAAATGCCCCGGGCTCCCATCTTTGGAGGGCATTTCTGACTCAGTGGTCCAATAGGAATGAGTCCTGGTTCATAGTGGTTCATAGTGGTAACCAATCCATAATGAACTCTCCATTGACTTTCCCTTCTTGTCTGTCTCTCTCACTTCCGCTTTCTGGGATAGTCTCCTGACTAAAATATTTGCACTAGGTCCTTGTGTCCTTCCCTGCTTTCCCTCTCTGTTCTCTCCACTAAGACCCCCTCCAGCCTCCCCATCCCTCCTGCCCCCGTGATATAGCCACACCAGATGCTTCCCCATTTCCCCAGTTACTCCTTGGTCTCGGGGTCTACTTTTGCCAGGCTGCTTCCTCCTCTGCCTGGTGAGAGCCTTTTGCACCTATCAAAGCCCAGCTCACCTGTGACTTTCTCTCTAACGCCTTCCCTTCCCCGGGTCTAGTGAGACATGCTGATCTGCAGAGGGATTTCCCTTGGTTCCAGCACTGGTCACACCACACTGTAATTAATTCCATGGCTCCTTGAGGATATCCTGGCTCTAGCCGGCTGGCATTTCCTCTTCCTCCAGCTGCCAGAGTACTTAATGTGGTTCCAAACAGCCAGAACCTACCACACATCTCCTGAGAAATGATAAATGATGAATGAATGAATGAATGAATGAATGATTAGTACTCCACCTGGACCCTTGAGCCATGATCTTGGGGTTGTGAGATGGAGCTGGGCATGGGACTCTGCTTTCAGCAGGGAGTCTGCTTAAGACACTCTCTCCTCTCCCTCTGCCCCCTTCCCTTATGCGATCTTTTTGTTTGTTTTAAGATTTTTATTTTATTTTTATTTATTTATTTAAATTAACATATAATGTATTATTTGCCCCAGGTCTGTGAATCATCAGGCTTACACACTTCACAGCACTCACCATACACATACCCTCCCGAATGTCCATAACCCAACCACCCTCTCCCTACCCCCATACCCCCGGGCACCCCTCAGTTTGTTTTGTGAGATT